CTTGGGTTTCTTCTGCTCTGGAGGGCAGGCTGCAGTGTGTGGCTTCTGTCTCTGGCTCAATTACTCCCAGAGTGTGTTTCCTGCCAGACTAACCCCACCAGCTGCTCTGTGGGCTAATGATTTGAGAGACTCTGGACATCGTCTCCCTGTGGAGATTGACCGAACACAGTGACATATGAAATGGTCTGAAAAGTCCTGCAGAAAGGGACCTTAATCAAACTAGTTTCCCATAGAATCCTTTTCTGATGCTATTCCTACCTCAGGGTACGAGTTAGGTGGTGCTATACTAGCTCACTGCAGATGTATTACCACTGCAACAGGGTTTAACAAAGAACCAAAAGCTAGAAGGTGAATAATGACTTTTTCATTTGCAAACAAAACCCAAATCACTGAAAGCAAGTTCTTCTGATCTCAAATTTGAGACTCAAGGATTCTATTAATCCATGACTTGGGTGAACAATAAGGATTCATCAAATACTAATTTGGAACTCACTAGCTTTCAAATTCATCAGTTTGCTTGGCTATTCAGAAACAGAACTATTAAACTCTCAAGATTCATATTATAAAACTGTGGTTTCATTTTAAAAATGGCTTTTCCACCAGAGGTACTGTCGAACTCAGCCCATCATCATGAGACACTGGTGAACTTGGCATTGAAGAAATGTATCAAGGCCAAGGAAGGCATTCTCTTTTCTTTTCTCTTTCTCTTTTCTTTTCTTTTTTTTTCTTTTCTTTTTCTTTCTTTTTTAAGAAAAGAAACATACCAGATTATTGCTGTAAAACTATTTGGCTATTTATATTTATTCTGGTTTGTGGGGTACTGTTTTGTTTTGTAACCTTTAAACGGGGCAGGAGAAGGGCAGATTCCAAATGGAGGCGGACAGCTCAAAGGCTACTGCTCTTGGTTTTGAGTTAACCTGAGTTATTCTGGGCCACACTTTCCAGAACCCCTACTTCGGTCTGAGCAGCCTCCCCCAGCTAATCACAATCCCACAAGTCCAAGACAGCGGAGGCCAGGCCAGCCCCCACGGGTTATCCAGGGCACCTCTGGTAGGTTTCCCAGGCCTCCTTGCTCTATCTGTCATACCAGAAGCTTATCTGGCAGGACCCTGGGCATGTGCAGTGGAACTGTAATGAGGCCTGACTTCCACCAAGGACAGAACCTTCCTGCCCAGCTTATTGGTGGCTCCTGCCACTTGCTTAGCACCTCCTGAAGCAGTGTCATTATGAAACATGAATTAAAGTCCACTAGTGCCAGGGGATGACAGGACCAGCCTGGTTACGGGACACCTGCAAGCCCTGGTTCTTCAAAACTTGAATGCAAGGATGTGGTCCACACTGCACTCCACTTCATCCCTGGCCCCGGAAATTCTCTGCTCCTGGATGTTGCAGGGTTCTTTTTTTCCTCTTCATTTCTTAGTCCTACATTTTCATGTAGTAAATCTCTTCATTTATGGTATAAATGAAACGCTCAGGTTAATTCTAGCAGTTTGAAGCTGGATCCACTGCAGGAGAAGACTGTTGCTATATCTGTGAGATTAAACTATTTTCAAAAATGAAACCATTCACATGGTATTCCCCTGGGCTGGCAATTACTGCCATCTTCCTTTGAATAGAGAGTACTACGAAATGAGTTCTCTGCCAGAAGCCAAAAACCCTCAGAAGAGTCAGCTTTAAAAGCCTCCTTGCCCCTTCTCCCTAGTGGTGGGGGTGTGGTATTTAGTACAAGGTCAATTAGACCTGAATTCAAACCTAATTCTGCTACTTACTCAGCTGTGTGGCCTTGGCCAAGTCACTAAACATTTCTGAGGCTGCGTTCTCATCCTGAACATAACAATACTATCTACCTCAAAGAGTAGTTATGGATATTAAACAAGAGAGCCAGTATTAAGCACCTAGGAAAAAAATGAAAGCATCAACCTCTTTTTGTGCTTATTCTGGACCGGGTACTTGTCAGTGCATTACATTTTTTTTTATTCATTTCACTCTCATTGTAATATTATTACCTCTATTTTATAATTGTTAAACTGAGGTATGCAATAAGTAATTTGCTCCAAGTCGCACAGGTATTAAGTGCCACAGACAGGCTATAAGCCCAGGGCAGCCTGACTCAGTGAGGCGTCTTAACCTCAGGGTTTTCTCCTCATCTCCCTACCCTAAAGAGGTGCTGACATTCATGCAGGATTAGCCACTCCTGCATGCCAATTAAATTGCATATGCATATTTAGGTAGGTTCCTTTTAGTGCAATTTTGGTCAAGTACAGAACAGGTATGCCCTCAGCTTCCACATCTATAAAAAGGGGATATTAACAGTTTTCCTTCACAGCATGATTGCTAGAAATAGATGAGTTAAATCAAGGTAAAGGGCTGAACAGAGTGCTTGGCATTTACGACAGGCTCCATGTAGGAAGTGCCTTTATCATCCAAAGTCCTGAACAATGCGATGTAATAGCAGAATTCACTTGGTAAAGGAGATTTTGTACCTGGCTATCCTTGTTCTCTGGCAAATGTATGGCATTTAAAAATAGACCGAAGTTCTTATTTAATCAATAAGTAATCAGGTCCACAGGATTCTGGTTAGAAAGAAATTAGGCCAGGCTGAAATGAAATTAGACCAAAAATAAGAATTTTAATAACTAAAAGGAAAACATCAGAGCAGTTTTTCTGGAGGGTGCCTTCAGATTATGAATTGTACTGTACCCATTGGACAATTGCTATGGCTACTGGGCACGGAGCTTGTGAAAAATTTATGGCCTGGTAAAAATCTTTGGGTGATATAGGTTAAAACAACTTTATCCCCACTGCCATTGAATACCATGAATTCTAGAAGCAAGAAAGGGCAGCTTTTGTGAACATGTTGGACATAAAACAATACACCACATTAAAGGAAAAGCTGGACAGCAGATAGACAAACTAGCTCATGTGAGCACTCCAGCAATAATTTTTAGGGCTTTGCATTTACTTCTCTTGCACATTTAGATCTGCAATGAAAAGCAAAAGAAAGAAAGAAAGAAAGAGCAACAGTCCTTACTTTAGCTGTCTTTACGTGTTACATTCAGATAGAAAACAGAATTTCACTGCTCAGATTTGGAGAGAAGGGGGAGCTCATCTTATTTCACGTCTGTAGCTGCTGCCACAGCCACAGCACCATGTTCCAATCATGGAATTCATAATGTAAATCTCTTGCAGATGATACCACTGGAAAACAGAAACTGCCATGGATCCAGAAACACATCCAAATTTCTGTAAAGTTCTTATCTGCGAGCCCAGAGGCTGGTACTCAGTGTTTTTCGTTCAGCGAGTGAGGCCCATTGGGAAATCTACATTCTTTGGGAGACTTAATGAAGAACTTTCAACCATTCTTTGACTATACAAATACATGCTATCCCCTCTTCCACATGTGACAATGCTGAATATTTCACAACTGCCCCAACTTATCTCTTGAACGTTTAAATCTATACTGAAAAGGGTTTGTGTCACACACATACAGTCTAGCTTATTCTCTGTCAATCAGAGCCCATACAAATTACAGGTGGTGTCAAAGAGAAGACCTCTAGAACCGTCCAGAAAAAAAAAGGAGAAGCTGCATTTCTTGGTTGTTAGACACAAGATCTTTCCTAAATTAGAACATTATAGGGAGTCTTTTAAATCACCTAAGGGATACCCCTGGGGCATCATCACAGCTTCACGTTGAGCCTTTTGTCTCCCTGAGATGTGGGGGGGGGGGGGAGTCTCCAAGACTGGCTTTGCTATTCAAATACAGACATCTGCTGCACTCCTAATTTCTCCTTCTCTTTAAAAGGCAGCACCCCCAAGAAACTCTTGAATATTGTGAGGCCTAAAAGTTGGGGGTGGGGAGGAAATCTTTGTCTCCCTAACACATTCATCAATTCCCTCCTCCTTCCCAGCACCTCCCTCCCCAGAACCCCTTACACCCTCAGGACACATAAGCAGCGACTCCCCCAAATACACAAGGGCTGGAAAGATTCATGTTGCAATACCCTCCTGACATTCCTCTTCCCGCCCTCATTTTAATTCACTCACTTTTCTTTTCTTTCTTTTTTTTTTTTTTTTAAACAAAATGTAATTACTTGACTGTCAGCCTGGGCTGCACTCTGGGGCTTTTACTCTTTTCAACACAGCTGCGCTTCGGGCTTTGATGCTGCTGTCCACGCAGCTTGTCCCAGCCACAGCCTGGCTCTCGGTAATTCAACATTCAAGTGCATATTTATTTTTAAACTGACCTCTCCTAGACTGTACAGTATAAAGGAGGTCCTGCCAAAAAATATGCTACTTTCTATTTATAAGATGAAACACATGCCTCCCAAAGTCGAGAGGAGGATGGAGTACAATAATTCATAACAAAAAAATGACGGGCCAGATCCATTCGTCCTCACATGTCTGATGCTTGTCTGTGTCAAGACAGTTTCAAGGAGGAAAAAAAAATCTTGAAAACGGTTCAGCTGTCCAGAAACCACACACACACACACACACACACACAAAATTAAACGGCCAGACCTGCAGGTTGGATGGAGCTCCAGCCACAGTGCCCCCGTGTCGGGGGGCGAGGGCACCCGGCGGGCACCGCCACGGCAGATCGGCACGGGGCACCCCTGTGCGGCGCCGGTGCCCACCCACGACGGGAGGCGAGCGGTAGCCATGTGCGGTTTGTTCTCCGATGGAAAAACGCAATCCGCGCCCAGAATGGCTGTCAATGGCTCGGCGGGGGCAGTGGAGCCGTGCAGCCCCACCCTGCAAAGTGGTGGCCACGGACGGTGGAGCCCCGCGTCTCGGCCGTGCCACCCGAGCCCCTCCCGGTTGCCTTTAGGTCCCCTGGGGTCCCTGAGACACCAGCCGGGAAGGCGACGCTCTCGGAGTCCCCGCCGCCGGCGCGGCCCCAAGCCGAGCGCCCCGCGCACGCCGGAAGCGGCCACCACCGCGGATCCGAGCCGCTCTCGGGCAAAGAGGACGGCGCCCCGGGCAGGCAGGCAGCAACTCACCGGCCACCCCGACGATCCCGGCCGCGGCCCCAGGAGGGACCGCCCGCACCGACGCCTCCCGAGGGCACGCGCAGTCCCGGCCCGCGGACCCGGCCGCGTCGGCCCGCGCCGCACCTCGCAGCACTGGGCACGGGGAGTGGGCGTGAGGGCGCCCGAGGCGGCGGCCGTCCAGGCTCTGCCCCCGCTGCAGCCCCGCCGCCCGCCTCCGAGCCCGCGCCGGGGCCGCCGCCGCCGCCACCGCCGCCGCCGCCGCCGCCAGGGAAGGTGCGAGCCCGACTGTGCGCGCGGCGACCCGCCGCGGAGCTGAACCTGCGAAGGGCGGGGCGCTCGGGGCGGGGCCGGCGGCGTGGGGGGCGGGCCCGGGCGGGCCGGGCTGGAGGGCGCGCGCGGCCGCGGTACCTGCGCGGGGGCCGGGCGGGGCGCGCGGGGGCCGGGCGGGGCGCGCGGGGGTCGGCCGCCGCACGCCCGCGCGCCCCCGGAGTACAACGGGCGCCCATTGTTACCGCGCTGGCGCCGCCCGCAGGGGGGCCTTGGTCCCGAGCAGCGGCGCCCAGCTCCCTTGGCACAAAGGGAGGTCGCGGGACGCTTGCTTCAAAGAGCGACCCCGGGGTGCTGGCTCCCCGCTGCCCGAGGACAAAGGGACCCCGCCCGCGCCCGGACACCTGCACTACACCTCGCGCCCACCCCTCCCGGTCCGCACAAGCCAGTCGGGCGCGGCGGGCGGGGGACCCTGGAGGAGGCGCGGCCACCCGACCGCGCGGGCCCTGCCCAGCCCAGCCCGGGGCCCCCCGCCACCCCGGCCCCCGGCTCCGGGGCAGGTCGGGTTGTGTCGGTTTCTCGCTCGCTCCCTTTGGAGCTGCTGCCAAAACCCGGAGAGTGGATTGGGCGTCCTGGCGACGCCCGGGGCTGCCCGCTGGGCGAGGGGGCCAGCGAACCGCCGACGCTGCAGGTTTTTCCAGTCCGGGGGGAGGGGCTTCCTCTCCCGCGGGGTCCCTAAAGACACCGGCCAGAAGCCGGGGCCGGCGGGTGGCGGCTGTCCCCGACGCGCGGCGCGAGTGGCGCAGCTGCCGGCCCGGGAGCCTAGAATTGGGCCCCGGGAGGCACCTGCGCCCGCCGGTCCTCCCGGCGCCCGCCGCGGCACGCCCCGCGCCTCCGCCCGCAGGCTCGCCCTGGGCCCGGTTAATTAATTTTCTTAATCCGTCTCCGTCTCTTCCTTCTCGAGTCCTCCGCCTGGGTTAATGAGTAGGCGACAGGAAAGGGCGGTGTTTTCCGGCTGCGAGGTCCCAGCCCGCACGGCCGGCCTGGGGAGGCGGCTGGAGCCCCCCGGGGTGGAGGGGGGTTGGAGGGGAGTGGGCGCTCCGGGCCTGGCCCGGGCCCTGGGACTCTCGGGTTGGACGGAAATCCTGGCACAAAGCAGATACCCTGCAGAGGCCCTTGACTTTCCCGAGCGCGGTCAGCTTCAGGTCCTCGCCGCGACGCGCACCCCCACCCCCCGCCCCGCGCACCCCCACCCCCACCCCCACGCCCTCGGGTCTGCAACCTTAGAGGATGCACCGTGAGCCGGCGTTGGAAGCCCTGGGCTGACGTTAAGGTGAAGGGAAAAGGGAAAAGGAAAGGCAAACTGCTCTGGAAAGCAGAATGCTTGGGTGGAGCGGTAAAACCCTCAAAGAAAATAATAGTTGGCAGGTCAAATGGCCGTGAGGCTGGAAGTCAAATACAAAACTCAGCTGAAGAGATGTTAGAAATCTGACCAGCAAAACAGTCGTGGAAGATAAGAGACCCAGCGTTGTTTCTTTTCTTCAAATGACAACTACTCCAAAGTTTCCTTTGGCAGATACCTGGATTTTACTCCAGATTCCTCGGAGTTTTACTTGGTTCATATTTCAAAATATATGTTCCATTTGGCACTAATGTATATATTTTATGTATGGATTTATTGAAAAATATTAAATGTTACTGGCCTACTTAGATAAAGGGATTTTTATAAATATTTATGCATAGCTTTCATTGCATGTGGTATTTTTATAAGTACAAATAATATGTGTATATATTTATTAAGTACCACATGAAAAATTCCTTTTGCACACACAAAGGCATTCTTTACACATATGTCTTACGTGTAAAATTTCTTTTTCATTCGCTCTATAGTTGGCTGCTGGTAAAAACACTTTATTTCCACATGACTAAGTAAATAGCTTCTTTTAGAGCTTGTGCAAATATAGAACGGCAGGTTGTTTGGGATAGCTATTTCATTCCAAAACCCCATTTTCACTTTTCTACATCATTCCTCTCCTTCTAGAAACTTTCCCTCTCTGCTCTTCCTAAGACGTCATTTCTGAGCTCTAAACAATTTATCCAGAACCGGCCCCTTCTAGGGCTGGTGGTGCTGATTTGATTTATCTTGGTCTCTTTGATGCTTCTCATTATTTATTTGTACCAGCCGTCTTCCTGATACTGAACATCCTCAGTGAGGGTGAGTCCCCTTAGATATACAGTGAATTATTCTTCCAAATGAGTGCATTTCATATACTAACTCTGAAGGCTTTTAGGTTTGGTGGATTTTTATTTCATTTATGGGGAGAGAAGAAGTTTGAGGAAGATTTTAGAGGTTCTAGAATTCTGCTCTGCATTACGGAAAAGTTTAGCCTTGAAAACTTGAGGAAATAACCTTAGAAGCCTAAGAGACTAAGAAAGTGGACATACAGAAGATGTTCTAATCAGGCTAAATTAATGCACTCATATCTGTAGAGCAAGCATCTGGCAGGCCCGATGGTGGGTATTTTTCTTAGTCCCAACGATAGGAGAAGAGCCAAGAACTGTCAGCAGTACCCTTGCTGTCCAGAAACCTGCAGTCTACTTGAGGGGCAGAGCAACATGCCATTGTATGCAGGCAAGTGCTGGCTAGAATTATTCTAGCATTTTGCCACCAAGTGTGGCCGTGGGACCCTTGGAAGAGCAGCACCAAGCCTCAGTCCAGGGCTACTGAATTGTAGTCTTCATCGTAATGAAACGTAGAGGGTTCGTGTGCACATTTGATGTTTGAGAAGCACTGGGCAAGAGTAGTGGTCAGAGATCTTTTAAAAATCAGAGATCCATGTAAAAATCTCATGGGACTTAGGAATGAGATGCACTTCCCTACACACCAGTGCTTCAGCATTCAACTTCCTAGTTCCTTTGAACATCAGTCTATGGGTGGTGAGGAAGCCCTCTGTAAAAGCCTCCAGTCACAGACCCAGAAGAGCCTGTCACCCTCTGGCATCCTTACAGGAAGCAGAGCTTAAATTACGCTTTGGAATATGGGAGAAATTAAATAGGAAGAGGAATCACGAAGGGCATTTCAGGCAGGAGAAACGTAGAGAGAAATGGGCCCAAGACATAAAAGACTAAACATGCATTTTTTTTTCTATGCAATAAGGTGAAATTTAATGAGACTCTTTGGTAGCCATCTCTCCTTGCAATTTATTTTCATTGTTTGAACCTCCAGAAAATGAAACTGGCCTCAGTGGCCCTTTCACTTCGGGAACACCAGGAACGCTATGACATATGGTTTCCTGTAAGACCTCATTTCCGATTACTAGCCATCCCTCTCACTCACTGCACATGGCCTTCAGGCTTTTACAGGAACTCCAGCAGTGCCTGGGGCACTCCATCTGCTTGGACACTTCTTCCCCAGATAACCAAATGATCCATTAAGGTCTTTATTCAAATGAGACTTCAGGGGAGAGATTTTTTCACTAAAACAGCAGCTCTACCACATTCTCATCCTGGGCTTAAAGCAAGAAGAATTTCATTACCTGACATTACATTATATTTATTTATAGAGTCATTTATGGCCTGTGTCCTCTGATGTGTGGACTTTGTTCTTGCATCTCTCATACCTAAAACGGGACCTGGCACGTAGTAGGTACTCAACAAATATTTACTGAATAAATGAGTACAACCAGTAATGAATGTAAAAGCCATGTTCACAAACTCCATAGCTCCAGAAATAACAATATATTAAACATTCCTGAAATATGCCACACATATGTTGAGACCAAATTTTTGACCACTTTTCTTTAGTATAGCTGAACAAGAAATACTAAACACATGGAACATTTTAAGATCTAAAATTCAAACACTGAAAAGTAAGGCTTACAAAAAATGTCTTTATAGTCCATGTATAATGCATAACTATTTCTCTTCTAGCAAAGCTGAAACACACTCTTGTGTACTCAGCTGGGGCTTTCCTCCAAAATGCCACATTCAGACTGAATTTGTGTGTGTATGTTCTCGATTATCCCCCTAAGTTCGAGTTAAGGCAAAACGTAAGAGAAGTTGGAAGGTTAGAACATTCTGAACAAGAATGTCCCTGTGGCTGAAGGATTCCCCTCCTTGTTCCCCAATTAGAATTTCACCAGTCCTGGAAATAAAGCTAACCAAGGCTAATGAATTTGGTTGAACAATTGGTGAAAGTTAAGGGATTTGCAAGCCAGTGATTTCCTTGTAAATAAAGAACCTCAGGTCACATCATTTTGCCTAATCAAATGCAGCAGGAAATGGTATATGGGGAGACTACATCAGCATGCAGACCGCAGGCCTAGTATGTAGCTCTGGGCAGGTTAGACAGTCACTCGCAGACACTGCCAAATCCTAGGACTGTCTTGGCATTTGAATTAGTTTTTAAACTCAGACAGCACCAATTTTATTTGTGGATAAGGCCTTCAAATATAGATGCATATTTGATTGTTGCCTGGAAACCCGTGGCCAATAAACAGCCTTAACCTTACATTAATATCGCCTTCCTCGCTTTACAAAACCCTTTATGTTCATCTAGTTTCTTCCTCTTCTTCGGTTGTTTTGTTCACGTTGGGTAAGGAAAGGCCCTTATGGTTAACTCACATTTAGCCTGGTCCCAGAAGGGACTAGAGGCAATTTAAAAGGCTCATGTATATAATGAGTCATTCCTGTTGTACTCTTTGGGATGTTCTCTTTCTCCAGATAGCTGTATGCCTCCCTCCTTAGCTTTTTTCAGGCCTCTGCTCAGATGGCAGCTTCCTGGACATTCTATATCAAATGTCACCTGTGGGCCTTTTTATCTCTTTACTGCCTTTATTCTTCATGGCACTTATCATTTAACATATTGTGTATTTATTTGGGGGTTGTCTCCTTCGCCCCATGCCCAACATACCATATATTTATTTGTTGATTACCTCCTCCACCCTGCACCACTCTACTATCAGCTCCATGAGGGCAGAAAGTTTGC